GCACCTGGGTGGCTCAGTCAGTTAAGCGTCAAACTTTGGCTCAGGTCATGATCTCACAGTTTGTGAGTTCCAGCCCCACGTTGGGCTCTGTGCTGACACCTCAGACCTTGGAGCCTGCTTCAGATTCTGTGTCTCTCCTTCTCTGCCCCTCCCCTTCCACCCTCTCAAAAATAACAAAACTTTTTTTTTTTTAACTTCTAATCTCTTAAGTTTTTTCAAAATAAATTTTCTTTGTTTTTATGAAATGTCTTTATGTGATGTATTCAATTTGTGCTATTATAGAATTTTATCCTAGTGTCCAATTTAAATAGAAATTCCAGTAATCATCTCTCATGTAATAATGTAAAAGCTATAAATTTGATATTAAAACATTTCATTTTCAGCAGTAGTTACACAACTCTGTTCTGATCACTTTTTTTTATAAATGTACTACTGTTGCAATCACTTCATTTCATCAAGTTAATATCCCTACTTTTGCTTGTAATTCTAGAGTTTATTTCATTAGTCTTCATCTCATAAGCATGTTTGAGTCCATTATAATTCAAAAATAATAGATGATCAATGGCTCTTTTTTTTTTAGAAACAAACTTTTTTTTTTTTAATGTTTATTCAGTTTTGAGAGACAGTGAGAGACAGAGCATGAGCAGAGGAGGGGCAGAGAAAGAGGGAGACACAGAATCTGAAGCAGGCTCCAGGCTCTGACCTGTCAGCACAGAGCCGACACGGGGCTCGAACCCATGAACTGTGAAATCATGACCTGAGCTGAAGTCTGGTGCTTAACCCACTAAGCCACCCAGGTGCTCCGATGATCTGTTACTCTCGAAAATAGATCTCATTTAAAGTAAACTTACTTAAATATGCAGTGTTAAAATGTAGTAGTTACGGGGCACCTGGGTGGCTTAGTCGGTTAAGCGTCCGACTTTCGCTTAGGTCATGATCTCGCGGTTCGTGGGTTCGAGCCCCGCGTCGGGCTCTGTGCTGACTGCCAGCTCAGAGCCTGGAGCCAATTTCAGAGTCTATATCTCCCTCTCTCTCTGACCCTCCCCTGCTCACGCTGTCTCTCTCTCTCTCTCTCTCTCCCCCCTAGAAATAAATTAAAAAATATTTAAAAAATAAAATGTAGTAGTTACATTATTGATATTTTTCAGTGAATTAATATAGTAAGATAAAATATTTTATTCACTTGAATTTAATGCATTAATCTACATTATTAGGTGAAAATAACCCATAAAGAGCCCTGATAAAGGATAGAAAATTGCAATCAGGACATGTTTTAGTCTGAAAGATTTAAAGACTATGAGTTATGTTTCATTCCAGTTTCTATGAAGATGAGAATTAATTGTATACTTTAATTATGGTATTTATTATGTTTAGTATGATTTAATTATAAAAATGTTTACGTGGTTATTGGGATTTTAAAATTTTATTTATTTTGACAGAGAGAACATAAGCAGAGTAGGGGCAGGGAGAGAGAAGGGGGGGGAGATGGAGAAGGAGAGAGGGAGAGAGAGAGAGACAGAGAGAATATGTTATGCAGAGTTAGACACGGGGCTCAAAACTCAAAACCATGAGATCATGACCTGAGCCAAAATCCTGAGTCGATGCTTAACCGACTGGGTCATCCAGGTGCCCCTAAAAAGTCATTTTAGATAGTGAAAGAACTTCACTAATTCAGTCTATTTTAAATTCTCCTTATATACAAGGAATTATTATTGAAACAGTTGTTCTGTGGTGTTTAATATTATCTGTGGAGCCACTTCAATACTGTCCCAAGGTTAGCCAAAGTTTTAACATAGAATGTAGTAAGAAGGCAGATAATTTATAAAATTGTTCACCATTTACCATCTCAAACTAACAGAAGCTATTAAGCAAATACTAATTATCTCCTTAATACTGCATTTGTTTAACAGGTTTAGGTATTTTTTGTTGCTTTTTAAAGAGATCTTGAAATTTCACATGATCACTAATGAAATTGAAATAGGTGGCCTGTTGCCATTTGAAGATAAATGTTATTTCATGGATTTAAGTTCATCTGTTATCTTCAGATTCAAAGATTAGTATTTTGCAAGCTAATTATAATTAGCCATATAGTTTCTCTTCTCCCTTAATCACAAATTTTTCTTAGGAAAAAGAAAGGTAAAGTAAAAGTAGTGCAGGAATATTCCTACTTGAAGGCTTTATCTGTTTTTTCTTTATTAATCCTTAAAGTCTCAATGATAAGAAGGATTTATTGTAACATTCTTCATTTGTCTTATTGTAGTTATTGGGGAAATGTTCCTAATGTCTCTCATTCTTAATTTCAGAAGCGTGGTTAGTTAAATACACAATCACAATTGTTGAGACTGGGAATGATAATTTTACTTTCTTATATTTTGTTTATTTTTTAAAAAGTGGAAAGATACATTTTTACAAATTGCAAATGCATGCTGCTTATTTAGGTAGAACTAGAGAATAAAACTTTCAGGCATTTAAATTGTGAAATAGGTAAACATTGTGAAATGTGAATCCAGAGAAATGAAACTATTAAAAGGAATTTGTTTTTAGTTGTAAAGATTTTTTTAAAATAAAGAATGACAATTGAGGAAGTAATCAAATTGTACTTGCTACATTGTTCCCACAGATACACCAAAACCATTAAAATGAGATACTACTTTCCTTTGATATTTAACTTGAATATTGATTACCTAACATATTAACTTGTTAAGTTTCTTCTTTAAAATACTAATTTTAAAATTATTGATGTCCTTTTTTGGCTCATTTACTTTATTTAATTTGCCGGCCTAAAAAGAATAGCAAATTATTTTGAAATGATTCTTTTAAACTTTAGTAAAAGAGCATTTTTTTGGCTGGTATTGAGGGTACGGGTGTGTGTGTGTGTGAGTTGGACTTAGTGTCAAATAATATACTTACGATACAATTCTATTTTAACAGCAAGCAGAAATATAAATAGACATATGCATAGACAGTGTTACTTTAAAATCAACATGATAAGAAAGAACTTGTCAGATATGCAAATAATTTAAAAGTATTTAAGTTGTTAACAAAATTTTTTTTCAATATTTATTTTATTTTTGAGAGGGAGAGAAAGAGACAGAGTGTGAGGGAGGGAGGGGCAGAGAGGAGACACAGAATCAGAAGCAGGCTCCAGGCTCTGAGCTGTCAGCACAGAGCCTGACATGGGGCTTGAACTCATGAACTATGAGATCACAACCTGAGCTGAAGTTGGCACTTAACCAATTGAGCCATCCAGGCGCCCCACTCCCCTTTCCCCTAGAAAAGAAGAAATTTTAAAATATAAAGCAACAGGGATGCCTGGCTGGCTCAGTCAGAAAAGCGTGTGACTCTTGATCTCAGGGTGAGTTTGAGCCCTACATTTAGTGTAGAAATTACTTAAAATAAATAAACCTTAAAAAAATAAAATAAAATAAAATACAGAGTAGCAAAGTACAATTACATTTAACATGTAGAACATTTTAGACCATAAAAAAATGATGTTTTCAATAAAATTATGTCAATAAAGCTTTTTTTAAAGCCATATCAGTAAGTTGTGAATATATGGTTTTAAGCGAAATAAGTTTAAAATAAAAACAACAAAATATAGTCGTGTTTATGAAATCTAAAGATGAGTTACTACCATAAAATATTTTAGATTTTGTACAGACACTAGTACAATACTTCCCTCAGTTTTGTGGGTTTCTTCCCACTACACTGGCAAGGAAGAACATCAAGAAAAACTCCCTCAAGCTATATTCTGCTACTGTTGCTTCTTATTAATGAAAAGAAGTGTGTAGACTTCATATTAGTTGAATTTAAATAAACGTTCATGAATTATTTAATATAAAAATGTAATTATAATTCTGAGAATATTGTGAAAGTCCTAGAAAATAAATTACAGGAACTAAAAGTAGCATGGTCACTGTGTGTGTGTTCAACACAGAATAAGATTTGTGAAATCCATTTTCAGTAGACAACTTCAGACTTTTTAACAAGTGAAACTCCCCATTAAAAAGACACTTAATTTGTTTTCCTTGTAAGACAGGCAAGCTAAAAATTAATTTTAAAAAAATGATAAAGGGAAGTTTCTACTGCATTTATTTGGATAAAGTAACTCTTTCCTCTCAAATAAAAATTCTAACACCCTGAAGGATAATTGATGATGGGCACCCAGGCATCTGAAAGAATAAGGAGTCTGTGTTCCTTTGTTCTTATCTAATTTCTGTTGAGTAAAGAGTTTCTGCCCCAGAGGGATGAAATGACTCCTTGCTTTCAGGATGTTTTTAAAAACAGGATTCCACAAAGTTCTCTAGGCTTAATATTTTTATTATTTTGTATATTAGGTGATCTGCATAACGCTTAATTTTTTTTTTCTATTTTTTAAAGATTTTTTGGGGGCCTCTGGGTGGCTCAGTTGGTTAAGCGTCCAACTTCGGCTCAGGTCATGATCTCACAGTCTGTAGGTTTGAGCCCCGCGTCGAGCTCTGTGCTGACAGCTCAGAGCCTGGAGCCTGCTTCAGATTCTGTGTACCTCTCTCTCTGCCTCTCCCCCACTCACTCTCTGTCTCTCAAAATATAGACATTAAAAAAAATTTTTTAAGGAAAGATTTTATTTTTGTTAATCTCTATATCCAACATGGGGATACAACCCCAAGATCAAGAATCCCTTGTAGTAGGTCACTATTTCCAAAAGAATGAGTTGGTTCATAGTTAGTTTATAACATTTTCTTCATCTCTAGATAATCCAGAGATAATCTGGAAAGTAAAGTAACAGTGTTTTGGCTTATTCTTGAAATGTGGTAAAAGTTTATCTTTAAGGGTATAACTAATGTTCTGTCAAGTATTTCATATTTTCTAGTGCAACCTCTGATTTTTTTTAAAATCATTCATCAAAAGCAATGATTAAGTGAATTAGGTTGTGAGGTATTTAATATCATAAACTCTATAAAGAGCCATCTTTTCTTTTTCCTTATACATATCATTAATGTTTTGATATCCTCCTACAGGACTTTGCTTCCCGGGCTAAACTGGCAGTTCAAAACCTAGTACAGAAGGTTGGATTTTTTGGAATTTTGGCCTGTGCTTCAGTAAGTGAATTGTATTAAAAGTGAGGAATTCCAATAAATGGTAGATTTATATTTTGATCCAGTTTGTTTTTAAAGATAACACACTTGGAAAAAAAATAAGGTAACCATATAAGTTTATTAATCATTCATCTTATTCATCAAATGAGCTGTTTCTGTTGGATGGATGATTATCTAGTTTATTAACTTTTTAAGCATTTCATCTTGCCATGGTGACTTCAAACCTAAATGGCTAGGTTCAATAAGGATAAAAGAAATAAAATTCATCCTTTCCATGAAGAACTTATAAAATGAAGTGCATTTAACCAAGTAAGAATGACTTCATTCTTTCCAGAGTTAGAGATAGGTAGTATTTTCCAAAATTTCAAGCATTAGTAATATGGAAGAAGTCATATGAAACCTTGTCTTAAGAGATATTTATACCAAGTTAGGTAATTGACTCCTTTGGGTCAAAGTTAAGAGCATCTTTGGCAACAGTGAACTAAGAAGCCACTTATGTCAAAAACTTAGTTAATTTCTCAAATTGCACATTTGGGAAATTGACATTCCTTGATGAGTTGGTGTTTATCCTGGTCCTTTTCTAATATAATAAAAACAGTTATATTTGAAATGGAGCATTTTGATCAAAGCTTTCTTTGGTAGCCTCTACACAATTTTTGGCAGTTCAGTGGTGATACCTAATTGATATGATAAAAACTACAGCTGTAAATATAATTCACAAAATTATTATCTACTGACACACAGCTACTTTGTCCATTATGTTCTAGAATATGAATATATCTTTGAGTACTCTCTCCCCCTCCCCTGCCTTAGTAAAACAAATGGCCAAAAAAAGAGGACATTTGATGCCAAAGTTTTTTTTTTAATGTTTTAATTATTTTTGAGAGAGAGAGAGACAGCGTGAGCAGAGGAGGGTCAGAGAGAGAGGGAGACAAAGAATCCAAAGCAGGCTCCAGGCTCTGAGCTAGCTGTCAGCACAGAGCCCGACGCGGGGCTCGAACCCACGAACTCCGAGATCATGACCTGAGCCGAAGTCCGACGCTCAACCTGCTCAACCGACTGAGCCACCCAGGCGCTCCAGTACTAGAAATTTTCATAATCTAAGTTTTCATTTCAATGTATGAGCTCTTTATCATAATATATTGGTCTCTCAAGTATTTGAGCAGCATGTAAGTATACTATAATGTGATATTGCAGAAAGAGACTTGACTTTGGCAATCCTAAACCAGTTTTGCCTCTTACTAACTAGGTAACCTAATCAAGTTACTGTCTTTGAGCTCTAGATTTATAATTTGTTTAACGGGGACAATAAGACACCTATCATTGTAAAGGCTAATGTGAGGATTTAAGAAAACATATATGAGAGGTATTGGGTGGCTCAGTCAGTTGAGTGTCCAACTTCAGCCCAGGTCATGATCTCATGGCTTGTGAGTTCGAGCCCTGTGTCAGGCTCTGTGCTAATAGCACAGAACCTGGAGCCTGCTTCAGATTCTGTGTCTCCGTCTCTCTCTAACACCCCCTGCCCCCCGCTCTCTCTCTCTCTCAAAAATAAACATTAAAAAAATTGTTTTAATACATGCATATATGTGAAATAACAGTACTTAGAACATAAATGTTCAACCATTTTCCTCAGCTTTGATTCAGTCACTGAGTGTTGGAAATAAAGAGATGAAAGATATATTCCCTTTCCTCGAGGATCCTGAAGTCTAGTGAGTGGAGACCACTGAAGTACCAGGATAAGTAGAAAGTGCTATGGAAGTCAGCAGACTGGGATTAAATTGAGGCCTAATGGATAAAAATGTCCTTACTTTAGAGGCTAAGAAAACAAGCATGGGAGCTACATTGCCTGGGTTGAAATTCTGCTCTGCTGCTGAAACCCTACTCTCTCAAACAGTCAAACCTGTCTGTCTCAATTTTCTGTAAAATGAGCACAAGGATATCGTATGGCATTGTTTGGGGGATTAAGTTAAGTTAGTTGGTGATGTAGAAACTTAAGAAAAGTACCCTAAAAAGTCAAGGCATTCAATAAAAATTAGTTTCCATTATTTCTAGAGAAAATAAGAGTACCTTCAATTTATTAAAACAAAAAATGGTATTTATTCTTTAGCACTCATCCATCCCTGTGTCATCTCTGTTGCAAATCCATTTTCTATCCTAGTCAGTCTTCTTTATGTTTGACTAGGAATAATCAGTATTGAACAGAAATTGATAGATCAGTTTGGCCTTCTGGGAACTTTTTTCTAGAAAATTTTTGATATTTCTGTTAAAATATTAAAAGTACATATACTTGATTTAAGGTAAAATGTTTGTTAGTTATTTTGTTGTTAACATTTAAACTAACAAATTAAAACTCCTAAGCTACTTGATAGCTCTTTTTTTCTTAAATTTTATTTATTTATTTTGAGAGAGAGAGAAAGATAACGTGTACGGGAGGGGCAGAGAGAGAAGGAGAGAGAAGAAATCCCAAGCAGGCTCAGCACTGTCTGCACAAAGACACATGTCTCCAACATGGGGCTTGAACCCACGAAATGTGAGATCATGACCTGAGCCAAAATTAAAAGTTGGATACTTAACCGACTAAGCTACCCACGCACCCCACTAGTAGTTCTTTTAATCTCAGTCTTCCTTTCTGTGTATTTAGTTAGATGGTGGGAAAAAAAGAAGGGGTGTCTGGGTGGCTCAGTTTGTCTGACTCTTGGTTTTGGCTCAGGTCACGGTCTGAAATTTCACAGGTTCCAGCTCTACACCAGGCTCCTTGCTGACAGCAAAGCCTGCTTGGGACTCTCTCTGCCCCTCCCTTGCTCGTGCTCGCACTCTCTCTCTCAAAATAAGCTTAAAAAAAAAATGCACATGCAACAATAAACTCATTGATTATGGTCAGAGGGTATCCAGCATACACAGAGGTGTCCACTATGGTTAACAAATTCTAATTTTTGATCTATTCTGATTTACATATCTTGTATACTTTAATCTCTATTTCAACTTGAATTAGAGCCTGATAATAACGGAAAACAATTAAAATTTTAATCCATGGAGTTATAAGGGTCACATGAGAAAGTATAAGAAATGATAGATGGAAAGCTCTGCAAATGATACTGTTATTACATGATCAAACGACTGATGAACTTGCATAAAACATTTGAATTTGGATGAGAAAAATAAAAGTTACTAAATCCAAGTGTTACAAACAAAAGAATATTTGAATTCTAATTTAGTCATGGCATTGTTTTTAAAAAGAACATATGTGACAAATATCTTTTAAACAAGTAGGCTTTTCTTTGAAAGTTCAAAAATGAAATTATATAAATTAATTGGCTTGTGAGTGGTTCTGCTGACTGCCAGAAGGACAGAGTGCTTCTATGGGAGAAAAATGGATGAAGTGCTCAAAAGCAGCTTGTGGTTTCCTTGCATTTTTACATGAAATTGTCTTTCAGCATTCTTGAAATGTGGGAATGTTTGGAAAAGGTATTTGTTGTGAATCACTTCTTTGTCTGGGACTGAGTATCCAAAACATCTGAATCTATGCACTCATATTTCCACACTTGATTTTCTGCCTAAAATATATTACACAGCCTCACAGCCTTGCACTATCATACAAATTATGAGATTCATCTGTGCAAAATACAAATCACAAGGTTTTTTTATTACGTTGGGGAATAAAAGTACATCTACCTGTAAATATATTTGTGAATTTCGTAAGAACATTTGCTGTATAGATGTGAGTCATTTCTAGATAATATTATTTCAAGCTGAAGATTTTACAATCCCAGTATTACTGAAATAATCTCAGGGCTTTTTCTTCGTTTATACCTCACCATAGACACAGCTACCAAACGGTGAAGAATCTGCTGAATGGGATTAAATTCCTGTGGGTTCATTGGTTTTATCCAATTCAAGTATGATAGAAAAAAGCATACTTATGGAGCATTAGCCATAAGTAATGTAAGCAAAAGGACAGTTGGGTTTGCTTTGAAGAGCAACCTAAGATGAATATGAGACCCCATTTAAAGAAACATTAGAATACTTGCTTAACCTTCTGAACAGTCTAGTCTTGATCAGGGAACCTATGCCTCTCTTTGCAATATAAGCAAGGTTTGAAGCATAATTTCACATACCTGTAGGTGGTAACATTAAAACTGTTCCTTGGATTATGTATGAAAGTCGCATTTTAATTTTTTTTTTAATAGATTCCAAATCCTCTATTTGACCTGGCTGGAATAACATGTGGACACTTTCTTGTACCTTTTTGGACTTTCTTTGGTGCAACTCTGATTGGAAAAGCAATAATTAAAATGCATATCCAGGTAATTATACCCTCTGATTTACTGTCTGATGATGGTGAGCCCATTGAAAGGCATTAAAACTTAATTCCTTTGCTCATTCTGGTGTGAATTGTTAATATTTTGGTTCTGCTTCTTTGGGTTGGTATTTTCCTTAGTTATTTAACTGTGGAAAGTCATCTGGAGGTTAGTGAATTGGGGGCAGGTTTTCCCTGTCCCTGTTGGAAAATTGTGGCCCTTAATGACTTTTTCTTTGTTTTCTTTCTTTCCTTCTTTCTTCCTCCCTCCCTTCCTGTCTGTCTTTATTTCATCTAAGACTTTTATCAAACAAAAATAGTGTTCCTATATAGGAAAATGCATATCGTCATTTTCACATACATAACCCAAAAATGTCATACTTTGACCGACTGTGAGCTGAGAGAATATTGCCTTTCACTAATTCCACTTTTCTTTCTTACCCCCAAATAATACTTCCTCTCAGGGCACCAATGTCCTTTACAGAAAACCAGCCAGATGTCAGTGTGGCAAAGAATGGGGAAGAAAGAGGTCTGTGGAGAGGCGAAGAGCTGTGGGTTGTGGTTAGAGAAGTGAGAATCAGCTATTGTTCATAGCCAATGTTAACAAAAGCTTCAGGACAGAGGTGTGTGTAAATATATATGAACAGAGGAAAGAAAATGAGGGGAAATGAATATGTGCTTCTAGAACCTCAATATGAATTGTTTCCTTTTAAAAGGGCAAATTTCACTAGAATAAAATAAAATTAACCTGAAAAGAATTTCTTAATCAGTGAGGTTTGCAACAAAGAGACATTCACGAAAGGAAAGGCAAGAGCAGTGTGTAATGTCTTTGCCCTGGTATGATGCCTTCAAAAATTAAAAGCTTATCTTTTAATTTTCTCCAGTTTCTTCCTAACATCTCTCTGCCTTCAGTTCTTGGAAGAGCAGAATGAGACAGGAAAACTTCAGCTGCTTCTGCCTGTCCAGTTTCTAATATTCAATTTTAGCATTTGAGATGACTTTATTGAGCCCATCCTCTACTTTCCTGCCATGATAATTACTCAAAATTCCAAGGACATTCCTCCTTCAAGGAATGTATTTTCTCCCACTTACGTTAAATATATTTTTCAATGAAAGTATTTTTTTAATATGGGAATGCTAGTTACTTTGGTAAATATGACATAATCATATTGGGATTTTACAAATAATAAAATACCTTGGTCAATAGGAAATTGTTTTGCAGTGTATCAGAAGATCATTTTTTCTTTGATTTTTTTTAGTTCTTTCTGGGGGAGGAAGGATGCTATCATTTTGCTTTTTGAAAAGTATTAATAGCCCTTTTAAAAGTATTAATGCCTAAGGAACAATAACTGATTATTGTAATTCCCTTTATAATAGCAACCTCTCTGGGAATCCATAAACTTTATTAATCCAGCTTTGCATAGTAACTTTCCATAAACTACTAGTAAAATTTATTATGCCAAGAATATAGTGATAGGGCATGTAACTTATCAGACTTCAGAATATTCAAAATAGTATATTTTTTAAACATTCTTAGATTTTATCAAGTTATAATAATGCTTAGTTTTTTCACATAGGACTTCACACTTTATTTTTTTTAATTATTATTATTTTCTTTTTAGTACTTCACACTTTAAAGCACTTAGTGTATGTGAGCTGATTTGATTACTATAATCATTGGATAGAGAAATCACTACTCCAGTTTTGTAATTGTCAAACATGGAAGATTAATAAATAGAGTTGCCTAAGAATGTAAGTAACAGCTAGAATTTGAACCCAAGTCTTACAGCTTCAAGTCCAGTGTTCTTTACATTCTTTTGCATTGCCTTCTAAACTATAAATTACTTTTACAATTAAGGAAACTGAATTGTATAATGCCTGCTATTTATCAACACCTTTGCCAGGCAGTTTGCATTGGTTACCTCAGAACAATCCTGTGAGGTAGTTATTATCCACATTTCATAAGTAGGAGAACAGAGTGTTAAAGAAGATAAAATCCATGCCTAGGCCCTAGAATTCAAACCAAACTCTATAAATTTGAAGGTATTCCCTGTATGTGTGTAGAAGGGAAGAAAGAAAGCTAAAATCGCTCCGTGTTTTTGAAAGCAGAGAATCTGAGTTCCTTCACTAAACAGACCATGGGATGTGTTTGCTGTGTTCCACTGTATCATGGAGACACATACTTTCTAAAGGCATGTTACTTGATGTCCATCCAGATGTAGCTCAGGGCGACAAACATTTCTCATTTCTTGGGTAAGCAGTAGAAGAGCATAACATAAGCGTTTTAACTGTTTCTGAAGTAAACAGGAGGAGACCCCACATACAGATTTTTCTGAAATCTAATAATAAACCCATCTTTTCTTCTGCTTCTTCTCTCTTTTTCCTCAGCCTAAAGCAAACAGCAAAAAATACTGTTATTTTTACTGATACCTTGCTATTTGTTAAACTTCCCCTAAAAATTTCAAATTAGCCCACCTAATAATATTAGATTGGGATTTCCAAAGTCAATATACTTACACTCAGTATTTCATATACCCTGTAATTTACTGACCGTGTATACTGTTTATTGCCTCTATTTCCAACACAGACACATACACATAAATGGAAGCTCCATGAAGGTAGAAAATTGTCTTTGGCTCGCTGAGGTATTCTAGTTCCTAGAATGTCATCTAACATGTTGTAGACACTCAATAAATTCTTAACAAATGAATTTAAGCCTCTTTTTTCCATTGAGGGACCTTTCTTTTATAGATAGTTTCATAGTTCATTCTGGCACCATTAGTTCCCTATACCCTCTTTTTTTTTTTTTCCTTTCCTATTCAACCCTTTCCCTTGACTACTCTGCACACATGGTTGAATGGGCTGTCTGGTGGTCTGTGCCTTTTGTTTGTTTATTTTAGTTCTTTATTTGGTAGAATCCCCACTCAGACCTTCAGCCCGAATGACTCTGAGATGAGACATATGTTCTTAAATATCTGACACATTTATGTCTTGCCCAGCACAGTGAATTTTCAAGCTGTTGCATATAAAAAGAAAGTCTTGTTTTGTTTTTAGGCAATGAAATTATGCAATTATCTGGGCATTGGCTTATTTTCAGTGTTAGGAAATGATGGTAAGGGAAAACTCATGGTGGTGAAATCACTGAGAGACAAAGCCATTGTTAGTGAAAGATTTATAGTTTCAGCTAACTGGCTTTTAGTATGGAAACTAGAAGGACCCCTATATATAATGCTTTTCTCCCAAAATGATCTGTATAATTGTCTTGTTAATTTTGTAATCTTCAAATACTGTTTATATAACATTGTTTATGACATCACCATCCATCTTGTAACTATTTTTGACATCTATATGGGCTTGCTTTTTCCATAAGATAAGTAGTATCTTTTTAAAATTAATAAATATAGCTGCTCCTGGGTGGCTCAGGTGGTTAAGCACCCAGCTTCAGCTCAAGTCATGATCTCACAGTTTGTGGGTTCGAGCCCCACGTCAGACTCTGTACTAACAGCTTGGAGCCTGGAGCCTGCTTTGGATTCTCTGTCTCCCTCTTTCTTTCTCTCTCAAAAATAAATAAGTAAACATTTAAAAAAATTAAGATACATAAACACCAAAAAAAACTATGAACTTTTTTTCTTTTTTAGTCTTACTTCCTTACACGTACCCAGCTGTGCAGCTGCCAGCATCTCTGTTAACACTAGGACATTCCTTAAGAAAATATCATTGCCTTATTAGTCTTCTACCTGAAATGATGTGCTTTAGTCTAATGGGTGGACAAAAAAGTCCACTGTTAGTGATTTTATTTTTCTTCCCTCCCCTGTGGTTGCATAGGCTGAAGTTATTATTTGACAAACAATAACAAAGATTTAAGCAGTCATCCTCAGGAATTTGGAGGGAGAACCTAGAATTACTCATATTTAATCAGAACTGTTATCAATCCTTTAGAGTTAAACTTTACTATTACCTTCTTGAGTCTCTAATTGTACTTATGTGACCTCTCATTTCTCTGAACTTCTATAGCACATTTTTACTAGTAATGTCATCATTTTTCTACTATAATATAGAAAACTTTTTAAATTTCTTCAGGGCATTGAAGAAGTGTCCTTCCCAGCTTTGTGTGTTCCCTGAAAATCCAGAATAACGCCTTATGTTATATATTATTTTGAACATTTATTTGAGTTGAGGACATTTGCTACCTGTTAGTGCTAAAGGCATCTTTACTAGTACGGCAGGGTATTAACATCTTTAATTATTGGAGAGTACTAAATAACACCAAATTGAAATGACCCAAATCTGATAAAGATTCTCAGTGACTGTCCATATGTTTGCTTGTATAGTAAGCCTAAAAGTCCAGAATCATTCAGGATCTGAGAATGGAACTTTAATAATAACTTCTATAAACTTTCTATGAAGGACATACAGGCCTTTCAAGATCCTCTGGATTAGATTTAGCCCAGACCCATGTCATCAGCTGATCAGCTGTAATTTCACTAGTGGGGTCTATATGGGAACCCATGACTTCAGTTTGTATACTCCATTCTAGAATACAAAGAACATGTGGAATGTCCACCCAGGCTTGGGTTTCATGACTCATATGTTTCCCTCAGACATGGTCATGTATCCTGGTTAGAATACAGCTGTGTTAAAGAAAAACATCTTTAAAATACAAAGTAGGTAGCATTTGTCAGTAAAGTGGTGTTTCTTTTTCTTTTTTCTTTTTTTTTTTAATTTTAAAAATTGCAATGGGGGTAGTATGTCACCTTTTCAAACTCTTACCAGAATTATGAATTTATATTGGGGCTTTGGGGGGGATAACAGAGATTTTAACTGGCATTTTCTTTACAGAAACTCTTCGTTATAATAACATTCAGCAAACACATAGTGGAGCAGATGGTGGCTTTCATCGGGTGAGTAATTCTTTATGTACTAATATTAACATCATTACTGAACAGAAGAAAATGTATAGAAGATTTTATTGAGACATAATTTTTCTAATGCATTTTTTTTATCTTTTGAGAAAGAAAAATCTTTTGCCCTGTTATTAAATTGAAGACTTTCTTGCTCTACAACAGAGAAAGATGAAATTCAGATAATCCTTATTTAATTTTAAAGTTGTAATTAAATTTTCATTTTAAAGTCATATAATTCTTGATTTAAAAGAAGCTTTGGAGTTTGAGACTGTTGCTCCTCCAAAGAAATAAGAATTTTTTTTGTATAAAAGACATGTGTGTATTATTAACAGTTTAATGGTGCTTTAGTACAATGCTGTGATTTTTAGCCAAAATTGGATGCCAGATACACAGTTGCATTTAATTTAAAGATAAATCTCACATAAAATATTAATATTTCATTAGAGAAGGCATGATAAGATGATATAAAATATGTCAGTTATGAACTTATTACTTCACTAGAGAAAAATCTGGCCATTTTTTAAAAAGCCTAGACTATCCAAAGCTTTTATTTTTGTGTTTATAGAAGTAAGATAAGTTTTAACTTATGATTTAAATGATAATGTCACAAATTTATGGAGTTGACTTTGATAAAAATAAAGACTCATTTATCTGGTTAATCAAATTATTAACTGGAATAGGAATACTGTCACATAGTAAATGAAACTTTATGTATATATGTCTAATTCGGTGTTTACAGGTGAGAGGTTTCCATTTAATAGTTTAACTGCCCAAGGTCTCCTGGCTGGCTCAGTCCATAGAGCATGTGACTCTTGATCTCAGAGTTGTGAGTTTGAGCTCTGTGTTGGGTGCAGAGATTACTAAAAAATAAAAGCTTTAATGGGGCACCTGGGTGGCTCAGTTGGTTAGGCGTCTACTTCGGCTCAGGTCATGATCTCCTAGCTCGTGGGTTCGAGCCCCGCGTTGGGCTCTCTGCTGACAGCCCAGAGCCTGGAGCCTCCTTCTGATTCTGTGTCTCCCTCTCTCTCTGACCCTCCCTGCTCATGCTGTCTCTCTCTCTCTCTCTCTCTCTCTCTTAAAAAATAAAACATTTAAAAATAAATAAAAAATAAATAAAATCTTTAAGAAAAAATAGTTCAACTGCCCAATGGTAGAAAGTACCCTGTATGTAGTTTTTTGGTTTTTTGTGTTTTTTCCCTTTATATAGTTTTAACATAAATCTTTATCTTAAAAGCCATTTGTTAAATAAAACACTTATGAAAATTTTTGCTATTTAAAAAAATTGCCATTTGAACGTAAGTTCATAAGTATTTGTTTTATTATTCTTTAAATCATACATTGTATATTATATTTATTCTCTTCTATATATAATATATTTTATAATAAAATAGTTTTAATATTTTTTATTATAGTTTTAATATAATCAAGGAAAGACATATTCTTGAGAATATACTCAGTGGGGCCAGTTATTGCTTTTATTACTTCTTAATAAGCTTCTGATCACAAATGTGGATTATAGTTTGTACATTAAAATTTAATTACTCCAGTTTTTTGTTGCCTGGATCCTTACAAATAAATTGGTTTACAAGCCACCATATATCACATTCATAAAGAAAGAAGAAATATTCTTTTCCCTTATTTTTTAAATACAAAGAAGGCATTTCATCTGTTCTTAGAGTTTATTGTTCCACCTCGAGAATTATGAAGGACACACAGCTGACTACTACAAAAATCCACATGTTACAGGAGTGACTTTACACGTAGCATTCTACATCCTTCCCTTCTCCTGTTCCCATGCTTCCCACTTACAGAAGGAAGTTTTTCAGTGACTTACCCACCACTACCACCTTCTGTTTCCCCACCCTTTGGAGTTTCTAAAAAGTTAGATTAGTGGAGTGCCTGGGTGGCACAGTCAGTTAAGTGTCTGACTCTTGATCTCGGTTCAGGGCCTGATCTCACAGGTTCATGAGTTTGAGCTCCATGTCACGCTGCGCACTGATGGCACGGAGCCTGCTTGGAATTATGTCTCTCCCTCTTTCTATCCCTCCCCCACTGTTCGTTCGTTCTCTCTCTCTCTCTCTCTCTCAAAATATATAAACGTTAAAAAATTAAAATTAAAATAACTAACTAAATAAATAAACAAATAAAAAGATTAGATAACTACCTGTCTTACCTACTCACATCAAGTTACATTCCCTTCCAATCTGTTCTCTATACTGCAGTTAGTAACCTTTCAAAAATATTAATCTGAGCACATTACACCACAGCCCTTACCCCCAGCTCCTCATCATCTTGAAACCCTTTTTACTTGTTTTTTCTTCATTCTTAAAATAAAGTTGAAGTTCTTGAACATGATCTAGAGAACCTTGTATGATGGATGTATCCTCTATAATTTTCTCTTCTTGAGTCTCCCATGTATGGTCTTTACTTGCTTGTGCTTTTCCCTTTGCCTAGTTCAGGGCTTCTTAACCTTTGCACTGTTGACATTTTAAGCCAGGTAATTCTTTGTTGTGGGCAACTATCCTGTGCACTGTAAGATCTCAGTTTGTAAGATCAAGCTCCACATTGGGCTCTGCACTGATAGCACAGAGTCTTCTTGGGATTCTCTCTCTCTTTCTCTGCCCCTCTTCCAGTCAAGCATGTGCATGTATGCACAGATGCATGCATTCTCTTTTTCTCTCTCAAATTTGTTTTTAAAAAAAGGTGGTTTTGCATAAAGGTATTCTAAGATATGCAAGACCTGCTGGAATCCAGTTTTAATTGAATTAAATGGGTGGTATCATATTTTTAAAATTGTTTTCAGGAAATGGATACTGGAACATCCTGATCTCTTTTCCCCAGTGCTGTCTATAGGGATTACCTCATCAGCTTCTTTTCTAGATAATGTATTAAACAGCATAAATAATCAGACTTGGCAGATAATAATTCTGTATTACCAGATGTCATTGAGTGGTTTTTTTTTTTCATATTTGTCAGGAATAACATTATCTTTAAAAAAAGTTTTTTTTTTTACAGTGTATTTTTTAGAGAGAGAGTGCATGAGTGGGGAGAGAATCCCAAGCCCAGTGTGGGGCTCGAACTCACGAACCGTGAGATCATGACCTGAGCCAAAACCAAGAGTAGGATGCTCAACTGACTGAGCCACCCAGGTGCCCCAGGAGTTACATTATCTTTTCATCAAATCCTCTAATTGAGCTAGACATGATCTGTTTTCCTACAGTTTGAAGTAGGAGATACTTTTAAATAATTAATAAACAGACTCACCAAACCTGGACTGATAATGAACTTAAACAAGAATAATGAATTTCTAGTAGATATATATTTATTATTACATATAAAATAATTTAGCATTTTATTTTAGAAAAAGGAAGAACAGTTAAATTGACTCCCTAAGCCCATTGGGTTTTTTTTTTTTTTTCTGGGAGAGAGAGACAGCATGAACAGGGGAGGGTCAGAGAGAGAGGGAAATACAGAATCTGAAGCAGCCTCCAGGCTCTGAGCTAGCTGTCAGCACAGAGCCCGACTCGGGGCTCTAACCCATGAACCGTGAGATCATGACCTGAGCCAAAGTCGGACGCTTAACCAACTGAGCCACCCAGGCGCCACTCTAGACTCATTGGTGAGTTGATCTGAAAATACTACCTGTAGCTTGCTCTAATAACATTCTCCTTTGATTGTTAGTTGTCCCTCTTTACACTGTTAAACTGTAAATGGTTTAGCAAGTCATCAAACTAAACTAGTAAAGTTTGGAATACAGGCTTTTGAAGGATATTTAAAACTATATACCCATAATTAAGGGAGTGGCGAGTTGCTGTGGTAAAGGAAAAAAATCAAAAGACAAGACCAAAAAAAGTCAGCAACAATTCAAATTTAAAATGATGAGATACTGAGACAAGGAAGAATGAAAAATGAACCTCAAGAGTAAAGGAGACCTAGGGAGTGGGACATGAAAAGAGTATACAGCCTTTGAACAAAATAAATCGAGATTTGAATATGAAGTCTGCCCAGACTAGTTATGTAACTGGTAGTGTTTCTTCTTCAGTTCAGGAGGCCACTGACAACCTTTCTAACTTCCAATCAAAAGTGAAATGCCCTGTATCAAAGTATGGTACAGATTAGTTGAAACATACTCCTGTCAGTGGCTTAACATTCCAAGGCATATGAATTTTTAAAATGCTTTCCATCTCAGGGAGCCCAAGTGGCTCAGTCAGTTATGTATCTGACTGAATCTCAGCTTAGGTCATGATCTCATGGTTCACAAGTTCAAGCCCTCATCAGGCTTTTTGCTTTCAGAGCAGAGCCAGCTTCAGATTCTCTGTCTTCCTCTCTCTTCTGCTCCTCCCCTGTGCGCTCTTTCTGTCTCTCATTCTCTCAAAAATAAATAAACATTTTTTTAAAAGTCACCAGTGGGGCGCCTGTGTGGCTCAGTCAGATAAGCATCTGACTTAGGCTTAGGTCATGATCTCCTGGTTCATGAGTTTGAGGCCCGCATCAGGCAGTCTGCTGCCAGCACAGAGCCTGCTTTGGATCCTCTGTACCCCTCTTCTTTCCCCTCCCCTGCTTGCTCTCTCTCTGTCTCTCTCAAAAATAAATAAATGTGAAAAAATAATAAAAATAAAAAATTTAAAAAGTCACCAGCAATAAATAGTGCCTTTCATCTCAGTTTTTTTTGTTGCCTGTGTCTTTAGTCTCATTTTCCAGTTTCTGTTGACTAGATAGAAAGGTAGACTGCTGGGGCGCCTGGGTGGCTCAGTAGGTTTGGCATCCAACTTTGGCTCAGATCATGATCTCACAGTTCATGGGTTCCAGCCCCACGTTGAGCTCTGTGCTGACAGCTAGCTCAGAGCCTGTAGACTGCTTCAGATTCTGTGTCTCCCTCTCTCTCTGACCCTCCCCTGCTCGTACTGTCTCTCTCTCTCAGAAATGAATAAACATTAAAAAATTAAAATTAAAAAGTAGAAGAAAGGTAGACTGCTAAGTGACTATTTTGTATACTC